CTCCCTGAGCTCCCTGGTTCCTGGTGTGGGACACATGCAACAGTATCTCTGGTTCCAGCCTCTCTGAGCTCCATGCTGTGGAGCATTTTGATTAAGCGCAGTGGCTTAAGAGTTCAATGACCTGAGTGGGAATCCTGGCTCTGCCATTGCCCAGTTACTTATGCATTCAAACTCTTCCTTTTTACAACAGTACTTATTTCATGGGATTAGATGAGAATGTTCATAAAGCACCGATCAGGTACTACGTATCTGGTGCGTAGCAGTGCTCAGTAAATGGTAGCTACTTATTATCATTATGCTGCTGGGTATAGCTTTTCTCTATTCACCAAAGATGTGTTTGTTTTGACAAGCGTCCTAGTTGGCTTCTATCTCAGAATTTTCTTAAAGAACAATGAGAGTTTTAAACATATTTTCATCCTGAATGAACCAAATCCTAACCTCTCCATGTATTAAAAAAATAATAATAACTGAAGTATAAACTCAAGAAGCAATTTTCATACTCCATCCCTCTGGTTAGTATCCAATAGACATTTGAGGGATTAGAAAGCTAATACATCATGTTAGAGACTAAAATGTAAAATCTTCTAAAGTGGTATAGAACTCATGGATCTGAAAATTTATTGAACTTGAAAATTTTCCAAATCAGCCCAGGGCTATCTCAGTATGGTTATAACTATAACCACACTTCCTTGCTAACAAATAGCCTTAAAAAAGTTTTTCATCCATGAGCTTTCCAGACTCCATGGCCCACTCCCCACCACACAATATACACCAGCCTCCCTCCCTCTTCTCTTGGTTACCAATTAGAAATGGGGAATGGCTAAGAGCTCTGGCCATGGACTAATCAGTTTGGCCATCTCACTAATCAGTTGTGTGACCCTAGCAAATAACCTACCAGCTCTGTGATGTTTAAAATAGAGATAGTTATAATATCTACTTCCATAGGATTGTGGTCAGGATTAAATAAGGTAATATATGGAGTTTATATATAGCACAGGAACTGGCAGAGCTCAATAAATACTGTTTTTTAGTTGTGAGATAGTAGTCTACTAGCACGCTGCAGCAAATAGATCAAGTTCCCTCATAAACACACACTGTGCAAAAAACAAAATGGTCTGACATATTATGAATATTTTTCTTTAGGCTCTGCAGCAGGCCTGATGCCTTCAGACCTAAATTCTGAGTATGTACCTAAATACATAAATGGTATAAAGTAACCTAAACAGCCAAGAACTGGGTCCCTCTTCCATGGGTGGGAAGACCCCTGGTCCACAGAGGAAAGATATACATGTGAGAGAGCTAATGGGAGCATAATCTGTACTGGCCAGATCCTGTAGCAGCTGAGCTGACACATCTCAGGCTCCCCACCCCCAAGTCTTCCTTCAACTGCACTAGAAACATCACTTTCTTCTACCCCCAGCTGACTGCCCAACTCCCCTTGAAACTAGGACACGTCATCAATGGGAATACTACACTAACTGCTTCGTCTATAAAAATGAATAAAGACCTCTGTCTGAGGTCTAAAGGAAAACACCCTTTTCAAGACGTAAAAATAGAAATAGCAGAGAATAATACTTAAAAGCTCGAGTCAGGATTCAGACAACCTAAGGTTTGAATCCTGGCTTCAATACTTTTCAGCTGTGTGACCTTCACCATGTTACTTATCTCTCTGAGCGTCTATTTCCTTATCGGGAGAAAGGGTTAATAAGTGTCACACAGGGTTATTATGAGAGATAAATAAGATAATGTATGTTAGGTAATTGGATGAGTGTCTGGCAAGTAAGTGTTTCCTAATGATAACTATTAACAGGAGCATTGATATCATTAACATATGAACTTTGCTACTCCTTTACACTGTCTTTAGATTTGGGGAAGACTCCACATTCATGTAGAAATCTAAGTTCATCTGTTGCCAACAGGTTTTCTTAGCCAAGTACACGGAGAGAAATAGCCTATTTAGATTGGAGCAAAGGTAATGATAAAAAATAAAAATAGAAAAACCTCATTGTCCAGGTTAATGATATTATTCCTAGCTTAAAGATTTTCAAGCCAGGTTCCCAAGAGCCCTTCAGATAAATACTTCTTATTACTACTGTCTTCAGACTTTTGTCCAAGAGTCAATAAATTCAACAATCATTTGAGTAATTGTTTCATGTCAGGTAGTGTGCTAAGCACTAAGGACTCAGAGCTGTACAAGACACATTTTTTTTTTTCCTCAAGGAAATAACAGTTTAGTCATTGTACTTTTACTCACAAAATCCCCCCAAATCATCTTCTCTACTGCATCTTTCTCCACATCCTTTGAGATGCTTCCTAATTTAGTTTTGGGTGAGAATCTCTTTGTGCTTCCTACCATTCACTTAACTTTGCCCTCCTTCACCTCTTACACAAATCAACCATATCATTCATTTTCAGTGTTCCCTGTTTAATCATCTTCCCAATCAGATTATTTAGTAACTCTAGGGCATGAGTCTTCCCTTAGTCAATTTTATATTTCTGTAGCACCTGCCATTCTGTTATTTCTACTTTAGATCATCAATGACGAGCTGTGAATGAAATTTTATGAGCCTCTATGAAATATAGTTTCACTTATCCCTCTAAGTTAATTGGGTATGAGATAGATAGACTTGGGGCAATTGCTATTTTCTCATACTGTATCTCTTGATTCACTTAGGAAATTTCTTTTCTCTTTTTGCCTTCTAATTCTCTTTCTTCTACAGTGTTGACACTGAACACAAGAACACTGAATTCTGCACAGAAAATGCTATTTCTGTTTTTGCACTTGGTCTTGAAAAAACTTGAGTCACTATCATCCACTCAGAAACCCTCTAGAAAAGGACAGGGCGGCTGCTCAGAACATTTACAATTCAACAGCCATGCAGGAGGGGAAGAAGAAAGGATTTTGCCCCCATGTCATCCTAAAGGGGAAATGAGCCTCTCATCCTAACTTAAATGAAGATAGAATAGTGCTTAGTAACTCTATAAGGATTCTCATTAACTCTACAAGGATTCTCTCATTTTGGAAAAAAAATTCTGATTTCTCTGAAATCACATATTTGGGATCTCTTTTCACCATAGAACACAAGAGTTATTCTTGTTATCGTAATGCCAGCGGGAGCATTGGGTCTATTCTCACATTGAAGTGCCATCCATGAGGTCGTGGACGAGTCAGCAGTAACATACACTCAACTTGTACTTTTTGTATCTGAACACTCCCATTTCTTCACAGTCTTAGAAAAATATTAAAAGGAAGAGATAAAACAACCTCAGAAAATAGGAAAACATCCTCTACCCTTGAAAACCTGCACATATATAGGGGTGGGCGAGCAAAGCTGAGGCAGGAAGAAGGAAGCTGTGCTTGTGTGCATGTGGGTGTGCACGTCTGTGTATGAATCAGAACCTTTCCAAAGAGAGGAAAATGCTTATTCCTATCAGTCCAACTGGTGAAAGAGGTAATGGGCTCTGGGCTATTTATAGACCTTAAATTGGCATGTGCTATACATATTGAGTACTTTGCTGATCTCATTTTTTAGAGCAGCTGGGAAGGAGAGGCAAAGAAAAGGTAATGAGAAATTTAGATCATGACTATAATTTTTAAAAATAACAGTACCTTTCTTATAACTGTAGATGCCCAGAAAACCACCTTGAGTCAGAGCATTAGATAAAGTAGGATTCTATTTTAAAAACAGAGTGGTGATAACATAACCACTGAAGTCTGGGTATAGAGGCAAAGGGATTATTTGAATACTGTACTGATTTTATTTGATTTCAAGGGTGTTCTCCAGTGTCACTATTGCGCAATTGCCAAAAATGTCCCTGTGCTACCACATGGACCATGGGGTCATCCAGAGAAACTGGTTCTTGGACACCAAGACACAATAAGCCTTCGAAGAGAACACTGAGGAGACAACACAGAAGCATATCCAGCCTGACTGTGCTGCACCCGGTTCCATGGTGGAAGGTAAAGCCCTCTGCCAAAGACAGCAGGAGAAACTCTCACCATCTGGAGTGAGGACAGCAAATGTGCCATTGCCTACCCATCTCCAGGGCCTCTCTAGAAAAAGGAGGATGTGTTCTCTGGAGATGCAGCCATATTTGGGACCCCTTTCTGCGTGGAGTATACAGTTAGGGGTTTGTAGTGGCCTGCACTGGCACTCTCAGGGACACCCAGGCTCCCCAGCTTCAAAGCCTCCCAGCTGAGAAACATTTTACCATCTTTTCCTCCTTGACTCCACATTCTAGTTACTCCCAGTTCCCTCTGAGAGCCTCACAGGGTCCTCCATGGATGTTAAGAGACAGGCGGACTTCACTAGGCAACTAGAGAAACTGCAAACTATACATTTACGGCAAGACACAAATCTGTCTCTTCTTTTCTTCCATAATTTACTTCCTCATCTGTGAAATGGGAATAAGAGCCCTGTCACATATACTTCACAAAAGTGCTGCATAAGATGGAAAAGCTATACAAAAGCAAGATATTATTATGGCCCTTATAGTGATTTTTATTATTACTCACCCCTAAGCTCATAGTTTCATATAACATAAAACAACAAAATATCTACTAAATATATCTCAAAAGCCAGTCCAGAACCTGCTGAGGAGATGGCTGCATAAAAGCTTGTTAAATCTTCAGGTTCCCTAGCCCTACCTCAAGCCTACTGAATCAGAACCTTCAAGGTGGGGAGCCCGGACTCCTGCATTTTTTTCAACAAGCTCCCAAACACTGCTGCCCATCAGCCAGGTGTGTGATCCCTATTTGCTCCATTTTATGAACACTGGACAGAACTGTTCAGCCTGATCTGAAGCAAGAGATATATGACATACACCATTTCCCATACCTCTCAAACTTGACCAGCAAGAGGTAAGTTACAGTACAGGTGACTGACAATTCTTTTCTAAGGGAGTACGGAGCAAAAATAGTACTTTAGGGAGTTAAGGTTCCACAGGAGGACCACCAAATGGGGAGAGGAGTGGTCGGTGGGAAGAGAAATCGGACTCACCTACAATGATACCGCAGGCACTGACCAATCCAATTTCTTTCTTCAGGGCTACTCCGCCCCCTCCGGACCCAGTATCGTGGCTGGTCTCGGACTGGCTCCCACCTGGGTGGTTCTTTTCAGGATTATTTCGGTGCCTGGCTCCTTTTTCCATCTTTCTCAGTAGGATTTCAACCTCTGAAAGGTATCTCTTTCTAAATGTGTATGAGTGTAAATATGTTTATAGAGAGAGCCTTTGAAATTAAAATGTCCTTTTCTGAAATAAAGAGCACTCCTTCCCCCTCAAAAAGGACACAAGCAGGTGAAAGAGAAAACTGAAAATATTTCTAATCTGTACTGACACTTTCTTGTCATTCGTACTTACAAACAAGGAAAGTGTTCAAAGGGAGGGAAAAAAAGAGACAGATATTTAAATACAAAAATAAAATTGTACCAGCTACTCTGGCTGGAATTCTCCGGGAAGGGATGTAGATCTTCCGAAAATAGGATAGTTCTGCAATGTGTATTTGGCAGTGGCTTATTTCAGACGTTTCGAAAAGAAATAGTCTGGATTTCCCTCAGCTCTCCCCCTAAGAAAACAGATTTTTTACCTCCCCTTAGTCTTTTCTTTTATGGGGATAGAAGTACTTTTCATTAACTGAAGGGAAAAAAAGCAATCCTCTGGTACTTTCTTCCCTTGCAGAAAAACAACCGTGGACTCGACCGGTTTGCTCTGGATCTCGTTTCCACCTGCTGTGGGTTTCTTTTCGCCTCCCGGTCTTTTGCCTTCCGATTTTTTCCAAATGTCCTCTTCTGGCTCCCTTGTCTTCTTGTCCTTGTTTTCTCCCTTCCGATCTCTGTGCTCACGACACAGATTGCCCCATCGCTCTTGGTGGCAGGAGAGTGGCTCTGACACACACAAATGTGCTTCCCTTTTTGCGTGTGCTTTTATGTGCTGAGATAGCTCCGCCCTCACTCCGCGCATTCCTCTCCATCCTCACTTGGTCTCCTCCTTCCTCCTCAGTTTAAATGTGAGCACCCAACCCCCAAAGATCACCGAGAAGATGGGTTAAAATGTTTTTCATTATAATCGTCTCTTCTTCTCCATCTCCTTGTAAGACGTGGAAGTAAAATGCCTGTCAACTGTTCTGGGAGAGTTCATTCGCTAGTATAGCGTTACAAGTCATACAGCATTTGTGAGCTTTATAAATAAGAGACTGGTTGCGCTGACTCTTTCATGCCATCAGAAAGACACTGGTGACTATGCTAAAATATTTATGTCTGGATCATTTGAGGATACTGGAGAGATGGTTGTAGGGACATTATCTTCAAGTTTCTGAAAGGGGGAGGAGGTCCACTGGTGGGGGAGAGAAATGGAAAGAATTAAAAATAATGGAAAAGAGGTTCATTTAGTATAATAGTGAGCTATAAAGAGTATAACGGAAACAAAATCACCAGGGAAAGGTGGTAGCCTCATTGTTCACAGCTCTTATTTAGTGTTAGCCGAGACAAGGGAAAAAAAAAAAAAAAAGACTCCCACTCTAGTCCCAGGAAAGAATGACAAAAAATTGGTAGAATGGGGCCTTTCACAGCTTCTAATATTTTAAATTGTTTGAAAGGCACACAGGGAGGGGGTGGGGAGCAGCACTTCTCTGATCATGAAGCAGATTGTTGATGTTCAGATATGACCAACTTATGACCATATTGATATTGTGTCTTGGCTTCCCTGGAGAATTTCACCCAGAAACTGCTGCCCTAAGCATGAGAGCAATGATGTCTATTTATAATTGCAAAGTATTTTGAAACCACAGCAAGAAGCAATATAGCAGACAATACTATAAATCTAAAATAAAAGTATTTTGAATTTGTATTAAATATGTTATGCAAAAGTAAATTATTTTAAAGCAGTTCTAAAAAATAAAGTTCCCCAAGCTGACCACTAAGTAAAGAAATTTGACCTCACTTTTTTGGAAAATGTTCCAAAAGATTTTGAATTTTAAGGAAAATAATACTTAATCCCTCAAAATGAGAATGGCTGAACTATTGTAGCAAAGGCTTTTCCCTCATTTTTACCCAAAATGGGGAAAGTCCAATCGTCAGTCTTTTCCACTTTGCTCCTTGATCACTCAGCGTTAAGAGATTTCAAAGATTAAGAGTTCAACCCCTTCTCCTTCTCTGTCAGTTCAAGATACTGAAAATTGAAAGCCTTGGCAAAAAAAGAGAGAGAGAGAGAGAGAGAGAGAGAGAGAGAGAGAGAGAGAAGGACAGGGCAAGGAATATACAGCACAAAACTCCATGGGAGAGGATGAGTCATGGGATGAAAATATTTGACTTGCCCCTGGCTTTTCCTGACAAGATTAGAAAGCACTGAGGGAAAAATTGATGGATTCATGTTTAAATAATCTGATTTGAAGACTTCTGTTCAAATTTCAACATCAAGGTATAAAGCAAATAATCTTTTTGAGTTTGAAACATAAGTTCTTTCAGTAATGTTTGTATTTCTAAATTTAAATTATGTAGAATAAATACAAGATAAAAGGTGAATGTGATGAATTTGAGGTTTTTGCCCAAATCAATGCAAACTGACTACAATGTGGTAAACGTTAGCCATCTCAATCTATGAACTAAGAAGTTAAACCTGGGGGTGAGGTGGGATTATGGGATCAAATACATTCTTGGGATGTAGTGATACTAAGCACGCCAAATTGGAAAGGAAGGGTTGTTGAAAATTAATATTTCTATTGCTTTAGCACTTGTACCATTAATAACTGTCCATTAATGAATGGTACAATGTAAAAGCTAGGAAAGGACTCTCTCCTCCTTTAACAGGACTATTTATTCATATTATATGGCTCTCTTCAGGTTGTGATCTTTTTTTGTGAAATAAACCCTAGGCATGTCAAAATTCCACATGACAAACATTTAACACATGAAAAAAAAGTCTTGCTGTCACATGTTGAGAAAAATCCATAGAAATAATTAACTGAAGTTTCTTAAATTTTGAGCACTGAAATTGCTTTTACTCATTAACTCTATTCTACATTTGCCTTTATATCTTTTATTCTATTTTCTACATTTAAATAGTGCTTTACTGTCTACGAACTATTTTATGCATAACATCTCAATTTTTTTTTCCTCCTTGTTAAATACTTAGGGTAGACAAATCAGTTATTTTTTTCCTATTGTAAAGATTATAAAGCTGAGGCTCAGACAAGTGTCTTCTTACCTGAGGTCAAAGACAAGACACTTGACCTATTCATGGACAAGTGGGATATCAATGGTTTACATTGAGAGCCCTTCCCAGGACACAAAGCTACTTGCTGATGCCTCAACTTCCTTTGCTTGAAGGAAACAGAAGACCCTTTAATAAGACCACATCCACCTCTTCTCGAGTTGCTGTTATAACTGTGCCTTTTAGACACCCACCTTGAAGCCAACACTTAACATCTGTTCAGTGAGACTCATAGGACTTAATCCGCCCTCCTCACCTCCCTAACATTTCTCACCCCTTGACATGGTTCTCGATTTGGTTAGTTTCCAAATACTTTAGTACAAATCTTTCCAATATGTGGGTGACTCTTTCCTGTTGTTTTGCATGTTTAAGATGGGGAAAAAAATTATTCTTTTAACCATGGAAAGGGTAAAAGGGTCATTTTCTTATGAATATGGATTTAGGAAAAGAATGGCTGTGTGAGGCTGACACCTACTGCACAGAGAGGGATATGGCATGGGGACATGCTACTTACATAATAGTTAAAAACAATCATGTTCCAATATAGTCCTTTTATGAAACAACAGGTAAAAAAGTATCCATTAATGCAAAGAAATAGAACACAAAGCTCATTCACTCTATTTTTTATTTTTTTCTCCTTGGACCCAATAGATAAGCACTCTAGTCTTGCTCTTTGTAAAAGAGCTGTGAAGTCCAAGGTCACTAATAGAGGACCCAAATCTCTTCCTAGAGGAAATTCATAGTCCATCCTCCCACTTTACTCTTCTTGCATCTAGATGCCCGGAATCAGAAGGAAATCCTAATTTCAATCAAAGCCAAGTTTCTTCCTAGAGTCCCAGTGACCACTGCCTACAGCCAAACAGTAGCTTCCTGACTAGTGGTTCTAGGAACCTTTATTTCATTAAAAATGAAAAGCAGATGAAAATTAGTGAGCCAAGAGGAAGGAAATAAGAAAGAAAGAAAGAAAGAAAGAAAGAAAGAAAGAAAGAAAGAAAGAAAGAAGAAAGCAGAAAGAAGAAAGAAAGAAAAAAAGAAAGAAAGAAAAAGGAAAGAAAGAAAAGAAGAAAGAAAGAAAGAAAGAAAGAAAGAAAGAAAGAAAGAAAGAAAGAAGGAAAGAAAGAAGGAAAGGAAGGAAGGATGGAAGGAAGGAAGGAAGGAAGGAAGGAAGGAAGAAAGGAAGAAAGGAAGAAAGAAAGAAAGAAAAAGAAAGGAAGGAAGGAAGGAAGAGAAAAAAAGGAAGGAAGGAAGGAAAGAAGAAAGAAAGAAAGAAAGAAAGAAAGAGAGAGAGAAAGAAAGAGAGAGAGAGAGAGAAAGAAAGAAAAAGAAAAAAAAGGAAGGAAGGAAAAGAAAGAGAGAAAGAAAGAAAAAGAAAGAAAAAAGAAAGAAAGAAAAAAGAAAAAAGAAAAAGACAAAACAGGTCAGAAAGAAAGAAAGATAAAATGAGGAGATACAGTCAGTTAATAAGCACTTTTTAGTGCATGCTCTGTTTGCCTTTTGGACATATTCATAAATTCAAAGGAACTTGTATCTTCTAGGGTTTATGCAGTCCTGAGAATTTGGATGGGGCAACCCTGTTCTGTTATGATGGTCAATTAATTCATGCTCTTCTGAAGATAATGATGAATCCTTGCTCCGACACTAGAAACAAAAATTCCAGCAAATTACTCTTCTGTCTGCTGCACTTGGCTGGATTCCATGGAGCCAGCCTAGCACTAGTGGGAAAGAAATAAAGATGCATTCCCTGAGGCAGGTTTAACTCCTTTGCTGTGCCCAATCTGCCGCGGGGCTTTGATATTCTTTCTAAGGATTTAAATGACTCCAGTTTTGAGTACTTAACTATGGAAACTTCCATTTTCTAATTGATTTTTACTGAGGATTTATCTTTACCAAAGACGAAGGCTTATCTCTTTTTATTTATTTATTTATTTAATTTTAAAGCTTACAGTGGAAAGAATAAAATGAGGATCCTCATCAATAGCTCAAAAAATAATGTTTTTGTTTCTGACAATGCAATACATATTGAGAAAGCACAACTGCTCTTAAATCTAACACAATACAAAAGCAGGTGGGCACCCAACAAATGCCTTTTATCATAATCTATTACCAAAATAAACATTATAAAAAGAGATATGGCATTCTCCTCCTTACTGTGGTCAATAAACCAAAAAATAATAAATTGTCTCCATAGTTAATAAAAACCTTTTACTTTGGGGTCTATAAAACAATAATATATCTAAAAGTCCATGGGATTTTTTTTCTTAACAAAGCCTGTTGCTACAGGAGGGCTGATATCTTTTAGGATATAGAAGATAAGTTCACTAGGTCAGAGATTTGTTCTTTTTCACTTCTGTGATTCCAGTACCTAAAATGATGCCTGGCACTCAATAAATATGATTGATTGATTGAATGAATGAATGAATGAATGAATGGTGAGGTACATTAATGCACAATAAATAAATTAATTAAATAATAACAGACGGACTGATGTGCTGACTAATCATAGTAAGATAATCCTTAGTGCCTAGAGAGAGGCTGGATTGTAGAAAGAGGAAAAAAATATAATCAAAAGTTAGACTTTGAAGATCATTTCACATATAGTACAAATCTCAAGCAGGTCCTTAACACTTCCCAGCAATCCTACCTCAGTCCTGTAGTCAACTGACCCTTCCACTTA